TTTAGGGTTTAGCCCGAAACCCTAAACCCTAAATCCTAAACCCTAAACCGTAAACCCTAAGCCCTAAGCCCTAAACCCTAAATCCTAAGCTTCGCTCTCGGTTCATCTTCGCGCCGTCTCCGGTGTTAAAGGGACCGTGGTAGGCTTGGCTTAAGCCCGAAGGTCCGAAGCACCAGGAGGCCCAGGAGTATGGGTATCCTTGAAGGGCTCCTTGAAAGGGATCTATAGACAATAGGGTTCGTTAAAGGGATCTATATGTGGTTCAGGGATCAGGGCCTACTTGGAGTAAGTATTCTTAGTAGCTGGGTGGATGCACTTTACACTTTTTGGGATAATGGTACCCACTATAGAGCTCAAAGTGTACACTTTTTGGGGCTTATGAACTCAGCAACTAAGGTATTCGTAATCATAACAGCAGTAGTAACGATCCTAATAACAACAACACTAGTAAACATCAACAATACTAACAGCAATAAAGATAATAACCAGTTTTTTGTACCACCAGCAATAGCAACATATATATATATATATATATATATATATATACATATATATATATATATATATATATATAGATATATCGTAGGAAAATGACAGGATCTGCTTTCAGCAGGGTGGAGCCGCACCATGAGATTCCACTTTGGTTTGCATCGTCGGGTCACAGCGCACACAATCTTAATAGTACTAATAGGAACAATGCATTACAGTAGCAATCCGAATAACAGTAAGTGTATCACTGACAATAACAACAACAGGAGCAATAGCAGCAACAACCATACCCACACTAGTAACAATGGTAACAATGGTGACGCAGAAAAGGAATAAAAACACTTATTACTGTAATAGCGACAACGACAACCTTGACAGCACCAATTACAATAGTAACAAAGAGCGGAACGGTAATCATAGAACTATCAACAACAATCGCAGTAACAATACCATGAGCAATGACAGTATCAGTAACAGCAACAATACCAATAACAATGACAATGCCAACAACAACAGCACCGACACTAACAGTAGCAACAATAGTAGCAGTAACAGCAACGATAGCAGCAAACACAATACAAAAAATCAATCAACAACTGCATCTTTAACTGTATCAACAACAATACCAATAGCAACAGCAATACTACTAGCAGTGGCACAAACAACACGAATTCCCCTACCAAGACACATAACAATAACACTGGCGATAATAACATCAACAATGGCTGTAGTGATGGTAATAGCAATCACTGATGTTGATACTGATGCGAATACCATTACTACAAGTAGTAGCAATCGCAGCAGTGATACCAATGATTCCAGCAATAAAAAGAACAGTAGCAATGGCAAGAACTGTAACAGTAGTAGTAATAACAGTACTCAATGCTAATGACACCAATATTATTGCGCATATTCGATCACCAATAGCAAGCGCAACAAAAATCATAATAGTAGTAGTAATTACCCCAACAGTAGTAATAAGAACAATGAAATTGCTATTAATATTGATAACAGTAGTACTAACTGTTACGGAGAGCATAAGAATGACGGTAATATTAATAAGAATGATAACAACAATCGTCATCAAGACAAAAACAATAATGATAACAGCAATAGCAAGAACACGAAAGTACTCGTATGATTTTAACAATAATACAAACATCGGCATTTTTTGACAACAACAGTAAGACGAGGAACAGTCGAACAACCAGCACTGAACATAGTAATAGTCATAGTAACAACACCATTAGCTGTAGGAATGATAACATTTAATATTGAGGATCATCTCTGATGTTCAGATATGTTCAGGTTAGTGGCTGGTATGTGACTACCTAGTCCCTCTCCGACGACTACCCGAAAGACGGCAGACCTGATGGAATGGGCTTGGCACAACAAGGAAACCCTAAATCCTAAACCATGACTCCATGTCTCACAGCTACTGCGTCGACTCGGAGGGGGAATTCGAGTATCATGATTGTTACAGTGCGTACTAGTGGTTTTTTCAGAGTTTTTAGGGTGCCGGGAGCTCGGGCGGGTGTCTTCTCCTTGAGAAGGGGTGTTTGAAAGGCCATGATGGGACAGATGTTTGAGGATCCTACGGTTTGGGTTAGAAGCTGCCCCCACGCTGTAACAGTGACTATAAGGATTTTCTTAGGGCCCTATTATATGCCTATTATACCACTATTACAGGGTGGGGGCCCCTTCTAAGGTCTGGGTTTCGCTTGAGTGCTGGTGAAGCGGCATATGAGAGAGCTGGGCTTCTTTTGACTTTGAGGCGATTCCTATGCTACTGCGGTACTTCCTTGATCCTCATACCCTAAACCCGGTGTAAGAGCCCCGCTTACTAAGCCTCGTGATTCGAAAGCATGAACCTTAAATCCGATCTAGGAACCCTGATAACCGAGTGACACTAAGTGACCTGACGGTTGAGGTAGCTGATGACATCGCGCAAGCCCCACAACCCTTGACTTTCAAACGTGCAGCACCTAATACTACTATTATTCCTTTTTTTTTTCTATACTATTATTACTACTATTAGCTTCACTACTACTACCAAAGCAGGCTGCCGACGTTGGCCTGGCTCCGTGCTGAGGTGGCAGGGGCCTCGGTTGTAAGGGGACCCAGAGACTCCAATACCCCTTAAGTAAGGAATATACCCTAAATTATAGTAGGATCCTTAATATGATTTAAGGAATATTCCTTAATTAAGGGGTATTGGAGTCTCTGGGGAGATAGTTTCTGGTTTAGGGCTTGTAGGCGAATCGCGGAGTATTGCCCGGCACAGCACCTCTTCTGTTTCAGGCTGCTCTGGTGCCAGATGGTTTCTACTTGGAGGGTCGGGGGACTTAGTAACTGGTTATTTTAGGGACTTATAAGTACCATAACCCCAGTTAGGGTCCCTTTTAGGGTACTTATAAGTCTAGTTACTACCTACTTACTAAGTCTCCCGACCCTCCAAGTATCCCTTTGGCTCAAATTGGTTGCGGGCACCAGGGCGGCACTGTTTTCCATTTGCATGCCATGGCTTCCTGCGTCTCCGGGAAGTCCCGGACGCCGTTGGAGATCTATGCCAGATCGCTGGCCGATGGCGCAGATGCCACCGGGTTTAGTGTAGGTGTCGGAGGCTACTAAAGCGACTTTCTGTTGATTGAGTAACCCTGTCACAAGTTTAAAGCTCTGTTTGGAGCAGCTGGAGTGCACTTACGATGATTATCTTCTGCTATCACTTGACAATTCAGCTTTATGGCATGGGGGATGGGACACGTCATCACTATCAAATTACTGACTCGTCGTCTGCTTCTACAACTGCTCCTGCTGCTGCCGGAATTGCTGCTGCTCCCCCTCCTGGTACTCTCCCACTCCCACTTCCACTCTTACTACCACCACGACCCCGTGCCACTACTTCTACCACAGGCACCACCGCTACCGCTACCATTAGCACTACCACTGCCTCTACCGCTATCACTACCGCTACCGCTACCACTACCGTTGCTACTACCATTGCCGCTACCACCACCGGCACCACAACTACTCCAGCTACCACTGCGAGTACTGCTGCCACACCATGGCCTGGCCACTCTACTTCCACTGGTGCTCCTGGTAATGCTGTACCCTCCTGCTTACTAGTCATGGTTTTGGTCATGCTATAGACCCTTTTTGGAACCCTTTTAACGGAACCCGGTTCTAATTATTAAGGCCCCGATATTAGGACGGTCCCCAGACCCTAAACCCTAAAGGTGTGGTTACCGCCGCCGTCAGGTCCGAGTCCGCAAACGTTCTCGTTGTCGTCGACCGGTGTTCTCCTTACCCGTCGTCCTCGTCGTCGTTTTCGTCTTGTGTCGTCGTTTTGCATCCGTCATCGTCGCTGGTTTGGTGATGGTGATGGTGGTCCTCCGTCATCGTTCTTCTCGTCGTCCCCGTCGGCACCGACGTCGTCGACTTCGTCCTTGTCGTCGTCGTCGTCGCTGTTCGAAACTTGGTGTCTTCATGTTCATCGCCTATGTTTGTTTGCACCAACGTGTTTGGTTTGCCGGCTTGCTGCCATCGCATGACCGAGGCTGCCCCCATGCTCTTCCCCATGTACACCGTCGCTGCGGATGTGCTGCTGAAGATGACGAAAGTGGAGCCGCATGAGAGATTGAAGGCCTTGAGCAAGTTCGGAATTGAACATAGAGCTTTGGCAAAAACACGGGTTGCCAATGGTTGCCATGACTTCATGTGAATCTTAGCTCTTGGAAACCCCGCTAACAAAGATCTTCACGCATAGTGGACCTAGCTGGAAACCCTAAACCCCATTGCGGTGACACCCTTTGTCCGCGGCTCGAAATGTCAATTCGAGCGTCCACATCACAGCTGTTCCGTTTTTTTTGCAGAGCCTTCTTTTAGCCTGGATCGAGGCGTGCGGCAAGCTCGTGGACTTTCGCGACGACTTGGGGAGAGCGGCTTTTGTGTCACATCAGTGGCTTACGCAACAACACCCAGATCCGGAGTTCCAGCAGTTTCGCGTTCTGCAGGACGCCGTAGAGCGGATCCTGACCAGCTCCGGGTCTCTTTCCTTGGACCCCGCCACAGAAGCCGTGGTACCGACGGCCAAGCCCCGTCCCGTGAAAGATTTTCAGACCAAGGCATTGTTCTTCTGGTACGACTATTTCTCGTGTCCACAGCTGCACCATCCGACACTAGTTATCGAAAGAATCATCAGCAAGCGGGAGCAAGCCAAGGCCATCAACAGCATTCCAGCATACGTAACCAGGTGTGACTTTTTCCTTGCACTTTGTCCGGTTCTCGATTGCCGTGTCGAGGGCAAGGTCCTAACACCAGCGACCTGGAGCAGCAGGGGGTGGTGTCGCTTAGAACGGGTAGCATGCGAGCTGTCGCCAAACAGTACTTGGATTGTCATTCGAAGCGCGACCTCCATTGAAGCCGTTGGCACACTGCTGTCCTTTCAGAGCGGCGCTGTGGGGGAAGGCGACTTCGGTGTCCAGGAAGATCGCAAAAAACTTGCCCCGGTAATGCAGAAGATCCTCATGCAGAAGCTGGACCATTGCCTGTATGTGGGTGACCTGCCCGGATTCCGGCGCCATTTCAACCTCCAGAGCACTTATTTGCGGGGGCTTGAAATTGAGCCAGTGTTTGGTCTGCTTGACAGTGGTGAGCGTGGTGATGATGTGGCGGCGGAGTTCTTACACCAAAACGGTTTCAGGAGGGTCGGGGAGGTAGACAGCGCTGGGTGGCGGCCTCTGCACTACGCAACATTGGCCGGCAACGTAGATGTACTGCGAGGCCTGCTGGAGAAGCGCGCTCAAGTTAACGGGCGCACATGGAAGGATGAGCCGTCGCTGGGCTTTCCTCCTACGATGTCCGCCCTGGACCTGTCACTGTTCTACAGGCACCATGAGGCCACGCGCTTGCTTCTCAGGGCGAGAGCTCACCTTGTTGGTGGAGTTTCACCGGCGGTCATGCATGCAGCTGGCGGAGACAATGCGGAAGGCATTCGAATGGTGTGTGCATTGGGTGCTGTGCCACTGTCGCAGAATCTGCTTGGAAACCCCACCTTCGCGACAGCAGCTGCTCTTGCAGCCACAGAAGCCCTGGAAGAGCTGCTGGTGCAGGGACACCCAAGCTCGATGGATCTTTCTCGGGCCCTCTTCGACGCCACCATGTTTCGGGGCGGGTCGGCAGAACTGGTGCAGCGATTGATCACCCTCCGCGCCGACGTCGATTTCCAGTTGGACTTGCCGCGGGACTGGAGCAGACTGGGCCGGCTGCTCCTTGCAGTGAAGTCCTGGCAACACCGGCGGGGCCGTACCAGTGCACTAACTACTATAGCCTACCACTTGCATGGCAGCACGCCGCTGATGCAGGCAATCCGGTCGGCTCAGTTCGATGGCGCCGCGGCCCTGATCGCGGCCGGCGCCCGATTGGATCTCTGCAACTGCCGGAAGTGGGCCGCAGGGGACTTTGCCCATGGGCAGTCGATCCCACATTTTCTACAGCTGGGCTTGGAGGGGGACCTGTCAGAATGCCGAAGGATTTCCCTGCTCACACAATCGAGCAGCTGCTTTTCGATTTGAAGTGATTTCAATCCAGTGGAGATGTCCTCCCGAAAGTGTGAGGGCACAGCTTCATTGTGCAGTTTTCAGAGGGTGGAATCACTTGGGGACTTGGGGCAAGCATGGATGGGTATCGATGGTTGGGTTCCGCATTCAGTAAGCACGAACAGGGTGCCAAGCTTGACCCAGCTGTGTTTGGGCCCCTCGATGACTCCACACTCATCCGACCACGCAGCATTGGGTGCGCTCAATGTCTGTGTTGCGGCCGTACCTGACCATATAAACCCTCTAAACCCTAAACCCCTAAAGTCCTAAACCCTCTAAACCCTAAAGCCCTAAACGCCTAAAGCCCGAAACCCGAAGCCACCTGATCTCTGAAGCAGCCTTGCACTGCAAACGCAGATCCCAAGGGCGCAAGGATTGTCCCCGACGATGAAACACGACTTCACCTGAAAGCTTTGCAAAAGGGGGGCATCCACGCGTTTATCGTCATCAGTTTGTCTTGCCTTTGCTGTTCCTGTGACCAAGTAATTTCTTCTTTTCAGCATCATGACCATTATGGTTCTTGTTGCTGTTTTTGATCCTACGACTACGCCTACCATCGTCCTTTGCGAGTCCAGCAATGAGTTCTTAGAGCCCAGCAATGGAAGACTGAGCCCTGCAGTTAAAGCCCTTAATTAGAATAGGATTCCTTTTTAAAGGGGTCCTTAAAGGGAGACTTTTAGGAATCCATAAGGGTACGTCACCTAAGAACCCTAAATCCTAAAACCCTAAACCCCAAACCCTGAACGCTAAACCCTAAGCCCTAAACCCCTAAACCCCGAAACCCTGAACCCTAAAGCCTCAAGTCTCAACCCTCGAGCCGTACGATTCCCGCGACGTCATGTTTGCTCCCCGCCTAGCCAGATGGGCTCAGAGCGTCAGGCCTGCAGTGATTCGGGGCATCGGGTGTCCTGATTTGTAAATGCATGAGGTATTGGGGGGTTTAACAGTAGATCGTTTACTGGGAGGCTCAGAAATAATCAGAAATACAACAAGGGGCTTATAAGTTTGAGTTAGGGGTACTCTAAGACATCCCGCAGTTTTTTGTATCTGTGTGTAGGACTTAGAAGTGTTGTTCTGGCCGGCTTGGCGCTCTGCACACTCGCATTTTCCAGGATTCGGGGCTTTTGGCTCCGTTTTGGGTTCAGGGTGTCAACTTGAGCATCCTCCTATGTTGCCATGGCTTGCTGCGGCTCCGGGAAGTCCCGGACGCCTCTGGAGGTCTATGCTCAGTCGCTGCCCGACGACGCAGACGCCGCTGGGCATCGTATAGGTGTCAGGGCTTCCTGCGAAGGAGAAATCCATGCTCCAACAATTGTCAAGGGAAGTGTGGTTCTTGAAATTACTATCTAGTGTTGGGGCACCGCCACCGCCACCGCCACCGCCACCGCGACCGCGACCGCCAGTTCCCCCGACGAAAACTCCTCCTACTCTTACTCTCCTATAGTACTTGTAAGTCATACTCCTACAGTTGAGAAATCACGAGCCCCCAGGCCCTTCTTATGTAGATCATCTTGAAGCAGTTTCACTCGAAGACGTTATCACCGATATTTGGCTCAAGACACAAAAGAAGCGTTATCATCACTGTGTCTTGGAATCAGAGATTGCCCTGCAATTAACTGGTTAACAGCCTCAGCTTTGCTTGGTGTAGGTAGTGTAGGAGCCTACCGACGCCATAGCACCTTCCATATTGCTCCCTTAGGGTAGAGCTTGAAATCGGAGTGTCATTGGTCTGTGAGAGACCTACCCGCCATTCCACATCTCTTTCCATATTTGCACTGTTATCTGTACTCCCCGTGTAGGTAGAGCCAACCACCGGGTAGAGTCTGTCCTTCTTTCACATTCTTGCCAACCTCTGCCCCTGCTTAGGCACCCAGCCAACAGGGAGCTTTCCATATTGCTGAACCACAGAATCATTAGTGTATGCCCACGCCTGAGGGTTGGCCTACGCTTTGGGAACGTGTGGTTTACTTCTTCACAGAGCTGTACTACGATATCCGAATCTTCATCCTAAGGAGGTTCTTTCCTGCATACTTGGCCAGGCGCCAACGTTGGGTTAGAGTCCGTGTGAGGTTGCGCAGGCTTGTGCGTAATTTGCTTCGCTCCTTCTACAGGAGAGGTGAGCTCACGATTGCCTTGTATCGCATTCATCACGCATCTCATCCTAGGTACATAGACGACACCGCCTTTGTACCAATCTATCTTCAGGTTCCTCGTTATTTCCCATAGCTGTTGTTCGTGTCTCCACTTCGTGTGTCGAGGCGCGCACTCTCTCCTCCGCCTGCTGCGTCGAGGAGACAGCTTGGACCATTCTCTAGGTACAGGGCTGATTCGGCAACTGCCAACAGCCCCTGCTATCCTCAACATCTTCCTTGACTTCCCGAACAGCCGGTGTCGGCACCTTGCCACCCGGAACACCCGAAATCCAATCACCTTGCCCAAAGGTCCGTTCACGACTTCAGGGTAGCAAGGCCTCGTGGTGATTGGAAGGATTAGCTGAGATTGAATCAAAGGTTCGATTTCTGGTTTCGGTTGATCTCATAAGATTTGGGATTCTGGAACAATCGAAAGCACTTCCACCTCTGCTGCCGTGTTGGCACACAGCCACCGGCCGCATCCTGGTTGGTTGTGGTTGGTTGTACTGTCGGTTGAGTGTGGTTTTCCGACGAAGTCACCTGCATCATCCGATAGGCCATCAGTTAAGCCAACGATTCTGGCATAGGGACAGTTAAGCCAACGATTCAGGCAAAGGGTAACATCAAGCCACAGTAGCGGCATTGGGGGATACATCAACTTCAAGCCACAGTTCCGGCACGGGGGTAAATTTGCAAGCCACTCTAACGGCACGGGGGTTTGCATTGGGACTTGGAGTTAATCGGCTTCCTCGTCTCACCCGTATATGCTGTCACCGGATCGCCGTGAAGAGCTTTTTGGACTTGCTGCGGCATTTGGAGCCGACACCCGCGCTTCTAGAGGTGGCCGGGCCGCCAACAATAAGCGCCGCTCACTTCATATAAAGCTGCTTCAGCTTTGGCGTGAGAGTTTGGAAAACCTCGCCGAGGAAGTATTCAACAAGCCTCCGGGGCAGGTGCCGGCATTGGCTGCCAAGTTCTTTAAAGTAAGCGCGCGGCTTACGCAGATCTCCGCGTCTGGGTACGTGATCTATAAGGGGACTCCTCTCCTTCCGAAGGAGGAGGAGGAGGAGGAAGAGTCTGACTCAGACTCGGTGTTGCAGGAGCCCGTTTCGCTACAGGATTTGGCCGAGGTTTCTTTGGATTCTTTGGACACTCCAGAGCGAGCAGAGCCAGCATCTTCATCCGCCGAGCCAGCTTCTTCATCTTCCCACTTGGGCAGCTCACTTGAGCGCAGGTCGCGATCGCCTTCTGTTCGTGACCAGCCTGACTTCAGTGTGCTAAGTGGTTCCGATAGGCTAAGCTCCGGTAGGCCGCTTCCTCCTGAACCCCCTTCTGCTCCTCTTAGACCAGCGCTAACGCAGCACATTTCGGCAACAGGTCCCACTGCTGCGCCTGAGATCCCAGAACGGAGGCCCAAGCAGAAGGCCAGGCCAAAGCAGCGTCCAGTTGAGCCGTCTGGTCCGCCGCCCAAGCCACTTTCATTGCTCCGGTGCGACGAGAATCCACTTTATCTTGCTGCGGCAATTGATCGCGCGGTCGAAGAGCAAGGAGGCGTCACCCATATTCTCTCCCTTGATTACCACGGAGTTTTGGATAGGACCTTCTTGCAGTCCCGCTATCTTTTCGAGAACCTGTCTCGACGCAGCAATATACTGATCCTTGTCAATTCCAAATGTTCAACGGAAAGCTTGATTGAGCGCGCGTTGGAGTACGTGCGCGAAGTGGCAGTGTCAGCGCGGTATAACGTGCGTAGCCTGCCGCTTCTCTTTATCAGGCGACCGAACAAGGCCCAGCGACTCTGGTCGGCGATTTCAGCTTCATCTTTGAGCGACGGGATCCCAGTCGTCCACGTGGACGACAAACCGTCAATCTGTGCTGAGTTTTCTGGCTGGGATCGCTACGGGTGGAAAGGCTTGGCACTTCACCCTGCCCGCCGCACAGAGCTGTGCGACCTTGTCCTTCCCGCCATCTCTGAGTGGTGAGGGCGCAAGGGATTGAAAAGAACACGGGGGTTTCGGCAGTCGCCAACCCCGCTTAAGTCCCCAATTGCTTGAATCATGTCCCACGAAATGTCGTCAGAAGAGCAAAGCTCCTTGCAGATTACTTCATCCAGTAGTGGGGTTAGGGCATTGCCGGTTAGAGCTTCCTCCAGGTCATCCCGAGGGTCGCGTAGTAGCCATAGCTCTTCCCCATCGCCAACAGTAAGAAAAGGACCTCACCTTAAGCAGTCCCCAGCCTCCGACAAAGGCCCAGGTAGTGGTTCGTTGGTGCCATTCGCCAACCAATCTCCACACAACCGGAGCCCAGATGATGGCCCCATTGTGCGCACAGGAGCTGCGCCAGCCCGGAGCATTCCATATGTTCCTACCGGCCAGGGTTCCCAAGGGTCTGGGGTTCAGGATAGCTCGGGAGTGAGGTTGTATCAACAAAACATTAGCATAGGACTTGATCCTAACGAGGTGATGGCTCAGGCTAGAGAGTTCGAGTCGACGGTTTATGGTCAGGCCCAAGCAGTGGTCCAGGAGGCCCAGGGTCAAGCGAGGGAAGAGGCTAGGCAATTCGGAACGCAAGTTGTCAATCAGGCTCAGACTGCGGTTCTAGAGGCTCAGGCAATCGCTAAGGCAGCAGCAGCCGCAGCAGTGGAACAAGCCAGATCCGAGTTGAGACTAGAAGTCCAGCAGCGTGAATTGGCATTCCAACAAAAGGAAGCTGAACTGATTGCGCAAATCCGTACATTACAGAACGAGGTCACTGTGCTTCGTCATCAGAGCATGCCTCCACCTTCGGACCCACCACCAAACATCCTCAATGGCACGGAGTTAGCCTCTACCATTGCTGAGTTAAGGGCTGAGGTTAATACATTGCGGGATTCCGTAACTAGCCCTCGAAGACCTTGATTACCGTTGTCCAGCGGCGTCGGCACTCGGCCACCCGCTGCCTCATACCAGCGAGCACCCGCTCCAATAGCACCATCGATAAGGCAGAATCCTTCACCACATCCTTCATGGCATGGTTCCCCGGTCAAACATGACCCGTATTCAGATGACGATTCTGATGATTCGGAATTGCGGTTAGACTTCGGAGGTCCACCAAACCCTTCTAATCCTAGCCCGCACGGTAGTGCCGGGAGCCATCGAAGCTACAATAGCCGTGGTGTCGGGTCAACGATGCTGTTTTCGGAAGATGATGTGTACAAGCACAAGGATTTGTCGTTGGTGAAAGTCGACTCTCTCCCTCGCGATGCTGCTCAGTTTAGATCCTGGAAGAACGCTTTTGTGACCAAGGTATGTGCCATTGATAGGACCGGTTCTGATACATTGCTTAAGTGGCTATTGCCCGCTTTCGAATCATCACAGGATGCGGACCTGTCAGATCCCCAGGGACTTCCGAGGTTTGACGCGCATTTGGCATCACTTCTTGCAGACCCGAAGCATCTCAACAATGAGTTAGGCATTCAGCTTCAGGGTTACATTGAAGGTTGTCAGCTTCAGTACACAGCCCCTAGGGGAAGGGTACTGTTGCAAATGGTTGCCCACAGATTCTTCCTTGACCAGCGCCGTGGAGCGAACCTAACTGAGCAGGCATTGTTGGAATTGCAGCTAGACACCTTTTCGTACCAATCGCTACTTGCTTTCGCGAATCGTGTAGAGTACATCCTGAATTCAATCCCCGTCGAACATCAGCCCTCAGAACAGACGAAATTCACTTGGCTGTTTGGCCGTTTGAAGAAGTGTCGTCTACTGCAGCGGCACATCGATCGCATCAAAGATGCTCATGAGGGTTCACGGGTTAGGACTTGGGATTGGTTGTTTGCCAAGCTTAAGTCATTGATTGCTGAATTGAGGGAAGACGCTAACGAGACGGCCATCAAAGATGCGCTAAGCCCATCCCCCAATAAGCAGGGAACGAAAACCAAGGAACAGAAGGAGAAGGATCGGAGAAACCGCGACAAAGGCGCGGTGGCCGACCCACAAGGCAGTGATACGCAACCCGCATTGCCCGGTAAAGCGAAGCCTCCCTTTAAGGGTTCGGGTAAAGATAAAAGGTCAGCCACCCGGTGCCAAAGGCCCCGGTAAAGGCACACCGAAAGGAGACAGACCAAAGGGTGGTAAAGGCACG